AAATGAATTAATAAACAAACAAAAAATTATGGATGTTCCTTAACCATAAATAGGCCAGTTCCTCGAGGCAGCACCATACTTTGCAAGTGGCGAAGGTGGCATATTCGCAACCCAAAAAATCCTCAGGGGCGGAAAAATTACTCGATTAGCAAATACTTTTGCCAAGTGAGATTAGGTAGCCCTCATGTTCAGTGAGTTGCCTGAGTTTCAACGCAGTTCCCATATTTGTTTTCTAAGAAAGCTTTCAGGAAAGTTCTGCGACTTTCAAGGAAGTTCTGAGAACTTTAGAGAAGTTTAGCGAACATCAGGGAACTTCAGTGAAGGTTCTGCAAACTTAAACGACGTTTTTGACAGTTTTGTAAACTTTAGTTAAGAAGATGTGTAAAGTTTTGCGAATTCCAGTGAAATACGGCGAACTTCAAAGAGATTCTAACAGCTTCAAACTTATTTAAGTTCTGAACACTGTTTTGTTTAGGATTTTCACTGGAACCAATTTAGAAAATCTTGGACGATATTGGACAATGCTTTCATCGCTAATTTAGAGCTGATTACTCACTGATTTTTCTTATATGCGCCCTCCACCCACCTCAAATCATTGCATTGTATTATATGAATACATAAGTGCATGTAAACATAATTTATAATTCGTTTCATAAGAAACAGTAAGTCGGATGGAGGAGGGGTTATATTTTTCTTCAACAAAAGCTCTCATCAAATCCAATGAGTATTTTCAAGGGCGTAGCCAGGTTTCGAGCTAGAAAAGGAGCGAAAAAAATTGTCTATGGAAAATTTGGACGAATGCCATTTCACCGAACGCCATACGGTCGTTAGCCTTTGTGTTGCTGGGTTTGGGGCCCCCCTCTGGCTACGCCTACGAGTATTTTGAAATAATGGTTGGCGGGCAAAGAACAAACAACCCTAGAAAGGTTCTGGAGAATATTAAAAGATATTTCTTTAGCTCTCGCAGTTTTCTTGGAGTTCTTCAAATTTTCAAAAGGTCTCAGGACTCCACGGTCCCACAATTGTCCAGATGTTCATAAAGCAGCCTCGGTACTGTTTTGAAGTTTACGTGACTTCCATAAAGATGTATAAACTTTCGAAAATTTATCAAGACTCTAAAAGTGAAATTCTCTGAACTTCTCTGCAGTTTTAAAGCTCCAACAATTTTTTTAAGTTCATGAAACTGTCTTGAAATTCCCGCAATTAAAAGTTTCCGAAAGTTTCATGCTCACGGAACTTGCTTTAAACTCATGAATCTTCCCTAAACATCACTAAACCTCTCTGAAGTTTCCTCAATTCGTGTTCGTGGATCTTTCCTGAAGTTGCCGCCATTTTGCTGACGTAGTCAGTACTTCCCTAAAAATATTTGCAATTTCCCTGAAGTTAATAGAATTGCTTCCGATTTTCTCGGAACTGGTCTTTAGTACTTGAGATTCTCCTAAACTATTGGGAACTGTACTTTCTTGGCGTTCTTTGAACTTCTGTGAAATTCCAGGAATTATTCTATAGTTATCTAAACTTCTAAGAAGTTCTTTGGGCTTCCTGATACAAAGATATTATTTTTCAGAGAGTGTACCCCATTAGGCATACGGACGTTAGGCATAAAGTAATTAGGCATAATGGACGTTAGGCATAATATACGTTAGGCATAATGGACATTAGGCATAACATACCTTGCTGCTGTGCAACTCTAGAAACCTGTTTCGAGCATGGTAAACAATGCTTAAATTAGGCTAAGCGTTGAATAAAAAATGATACACGTTAAACAAATATAGTTGCTTATTAAGCACAGTTTGGAATCCATTATTTATCATATCATAAGTGACGTAGCTACATATTTACTTAGATCCAAGATTAGTAGCGATTGCGGTTAAGTAGTCTGTCAATGAAAACTCAGCATAGTTTTGAACTATAAAACGAAAACAAAAAAATCACACATTAGTTGTAATATATTCTTACACACATATTGCAATTGTCAAAGAAGAAAAGGTTTTCCTCAGAGAACAGCTCATGAAATAAAGAATGGTGAATTCTGTGATTTTTCATTCAATAACAAAAAACATACCTGCTGCGCCCAGGATTTCCTGCCAAACTTTTCGATTCAACGATTCTGTTTTTGTTGTCATCAGAATGAAAACTAGCGGAACCGTCTGCTGATGTGAGGGAGCGATGCTTCCATGAACAGTGACGAGTTGCCGACACAAACAAGGAACCGTGGCAAACTTACCATCTGTAACCCAATACTTTGCCTGTCCAAGACGTCGCAAGTTTTCATGAGTTCCAAAAATTAAGGCACCGAAGTCAGCAATCAATAGACGATCCCCATCATCATCCTTCTGGAATTCATCGGGTAGATTATGCCTAACGTCCATTATGCCTAACGTCCTTTATGCCCAACGCCCATTATGCCTATCGTACATTATGCCTAACGTCGTGTACCCTTTTTCATAGGCGATTTCATCTTCTTTGAAATAACATCATATTGTCGAAATGATTGAACATCGCCTCTCTCTAGCTCGTAACCTGGCCTTGCATCCAGATATTAAAGTACCGTAATCCAGGGTGAAATTGATCATTATGGGTTGCGTTTTTAGTTGTTACGAAGAAAAATTTCGGTGATAGACTTCAAGAGATAACTTTATAGCATTTCATCATGAACCTCCATGAGATTGCTCCTACCCATAACAAAAAGTAGATTTTACTGCATAAATATTAAAATTTTATTTTACTGACGTTTAAAAAGCTCATTCTTTTGGTCGTTTTTAAAATAAGGATGGTCCTCAAATTATTGTTATAGAAAAAACTTTTATATTTTTGTAAATTAAAACGCATGTTGTTCAGCAAAGATGATTTCAAGCAACTTTGCTGAAGAAATATTTTTTATATCTCTTACCGTTCTCATTTTGAAGCAATTTTTCAGAATTGACTTAGGGTGGTTAGCTCTAACTTGTTTTTTTTTTCGTGAAAGACATTTTCAGATAATTGCTAGGGTTTGGTGAAATACACATTTTTGTCCAAAAAAGGAAATTGATATCTTTTATCATTTACGAGATACCACCCGTTCTTTGAAGAAAAATATGAAAATTTAGCCCTCAAATGTGTCCGATCACGGACACTGGAGATGGTGTGGCAATCCTCGGCTCGGAGGATTCCAGCTGATTTGGCCAATTCCCCCTGTGGGAATGCCAACAGGAACACAACGAAAAGCTCGACTGAAATCCAACTCAACTCATAGCCCTGAAAAGGACTGTTTTGGCTTCGGCTTGTCCAAAGAGGAAAAAACGAGAATGAATTAAAACTTTCAACGGCGCTATATTTCGGTGTTTGCTTTACAAAGCTTGTGGACTGTATGATCGCGACGCGCAAAATGCGTCGCTTTAAATGTGTTTGGCTTTCTTCTTCTTGATATTGCATTCATTCATTTCTCCTTCATTCATAACCAATCAGCACTCGCTGCACGCTCGTTGGTTTGTGGTCGGTCGGTCGCTCGTCGCTCGGTCGGTGCTGCTGCTTGCATGCTCGTGCCAAGCCAGCGGCAGCGTAAGTAAATGATCAAAGCTTGTTTTTCAGGGTCTTGATACAAATTACACATGTAGCACATTAGGGTTAGTTTCGGAAACCGATTACCCGCGGTCGCCTCGGGGTTAGTAGAGTTTTAAAGGATTGGGTAAGTGGTTAGGGCGATTACACAAAACAACTACTACTACTATTTCTACAACACATTACGTTCGCTTCAATCGCGAACAAAATGGTTGATGTAAAAAAAGCTAACTTTACAATTTTTGAAAATAAAGACACACGTTCTTCAGCAAAGTTGTAGCTGTGAGATACTTTCAACCTCTTTTGCCAAAAACAGAAACATTTTTTTTTAACTCGTAACGTTCTCATTTTAGAGCAATTTTTCTGAATTAACTTTTAATGTTTTTAAAACTTAAGTGCAATTTGATAAATGATAACCCAAGTAACACAAATTCATAGGATTATGTTGAGTAAACTGCTATACAACCAAAACCAGTCATACAATGGTTATATAAACTGTTATAGAACATGTGTGTTGCTTGGAAACGGTTAGAGATAGAAACAATGTTCAGTTAAGTTGCTTGAAATCATCTCAGGTATAGCTTTGCTAAACAACATGCGTCTTAACATTCAGACAAAAAAGTTAGTTTATCTATATCAATAATTTGAGACGAACCCTAATTTTAAAACCAGTCAAAAGAAGGAACGTTGAAAATTTTTACAGAAGACACTAAGCCTAACTTGTTTAGTTCATTCAGTATTATGAAAATGTGGGTAATTATCTAAAATTTGCATTGAAGAACTCGGTTTTGGCCAAAATAACTATGGGACCGACATGCGGAAAGCGGCAGTATTGTCTTGCTAAATTCCTACCGTGGACCACTGTGGATTGTAGACCATTAACTGGATAGTGATATTTTTCATTAAACTAAGAGTTAATTAATCTGAATTGTTTAAAAAATTACGGTAAAATGGTTGCCATATTGAGAAAACTATGGGTTTCTGTGAAATGTCTGTGATTTTTAAAGAAATTGCCTACATATAGGTGCAACTATGCATTTTAAGAAACCTCTTTTGTAATTTCTGCTGATATACACTTCGCACAAGGATGTTAGCATCTGATTCGGATTCATGAAAACATTTGCTAGAAATGTTCTCGAAAGTTTGAGGCGTTGATCAATTTCATGCCATATCGATATTTACAAATTTAAGATTCCAAAAATGCCTTAACAATAAACAAAACACTCAATATGATAAGTAATCGAGCTGAACGATAAAGACCACATAACTTCTGATTTTAATATCATTAGTTAGTCAATTTCGTTTATTGTAGAAATACACTTCTCTATTTACATTTTTAAAGTGACCAAATTGCCCCCGGATTACAAGTTAAGCATAAAAGACTGTTAAGAAGACGCTAACCTCGCAACATTCATTTATGAATACATAAAAAAAAACCAAAAACATTCCAACCCACTCACCTTAGCCGAGTTCAGCGATCCGCTCTTGCCGTTACTGTCCACAGAATCCGTACTCTTGCCAAAGCTCCCGATCGAAGTCATCATCAGCGGCCGACTGCTCAGGTTGACTCCACCCAGCGATTGCTGCGTGAAATCCAGGCACTTTTTCGACTTTATCTCCTTCCCAACAGCCATGGTTCCACTCTGTTTCAACAATCCGTCCTGCATGCCGTCACCATCCGGTTTGTTTTCCTTTTCGTCCTCATCGCCCAGGGGAATCACCTCACCCGACGACTTGGCCTGATCACCGGAGCTACTATCCTGGCTGATTTCTCCTTCCGGACCGCCATCGTCGCCATTGTTGGTGTACACCCACTCGTCTCCTTCCGACGAGCTGGACGATTCTTCCGACTTGGTCCGTTCGCTGGAATCTTTATTCAGCTCCGAATCAGTGTCCAAATGCTTGAAGTAGAAGGTGGCACAGTTTTTCGACTTCCTAGTGGATCGATTGAACTTGGCCTCGCTTGTCTTGCTGCGTTTCTGTTTGCCACTGCCATTTTGCTTCGGCGAAGGGCTTTTCTTGATTAAGGGGTTAGAGTTTTCATTGTTACTGCTGCTGCTGTTGTCGTTGTTGTTGTTGATCAAGTCCTGTGCGGTGGCTTCCCGGATAATCCCATCGATAATGTCCTCGCCGGATAGCTTTCCGCATGTGTCCTTGGCACCGATCAGCGTTGCAGAGGAATTTGCCGTACTGTTGCCGTTGGTAATCGTTTTAGTCGATAGATTTTGTATGTCCGCTGCTTCCATCATAGGGTTCGCTTCGCTCGGTAGTAATAGTTTCGCGGCGGATGAAGGGGGTGTCGACGGCGTGTTCGTTGTGGCCGTCGTAGACGATGTTGGGCTCTGGTGGTGGTAGGTGATAATTTTCGGTACAATTTCACAATCACTACCCTCGGAATCGGCATCGAAACCAGCGTTCGAGAGCTTCTTGCCTTTAACCCATTCTTCCTGCAAAAGGTTTGTGAAATAGAGGAGGTATTAGTTTGATATAATTTTAAGAAAATTAGACCAGATGAACTTACGCCACTCAAACACTCATTCTGCAGCGAAGCGGACGATTTTGATTTCACACTGGAGCTGAGTCGAGCTAACTTATTGACCGGCTCTTCATCCGTATCCGAAAGACTAGCGTTGTTATCAGAGCTCTGTGGAAAGGGGTAAATCAATGGAAGTCGGGTGTTATCATCTAATTACTGTTGTTTACCGCAGCAATATCGATTAAGCATGGGCGTATACAGGATTAGTACTACAGTACATCCCTGTGTACGCCTCATGGCCTGTAAACAATCCACTCACACACTTACCGAGGTTTTATTGTCCAACAGTCCCTCCAACAGACACCGAATTTCATACGCCTTCAAATACAGCAGATAGTAGCGTCTCTCGAGTCCTTTGATGACGCTATTCTCCTTGGATTTGTTGCTGAGTCTACCGGAACAGTACGCACCGGACGTTCCTGGTTGGACGTCAACTTCCGGAGTGAGCGAGCCGGATCCAGACGGTGGTCCCCCGAGGTCTGAACTCGTAGTATTGATGGCCGAAGAAACTCCGGAGATGTTGCCGGAAAATTTGCTTGCCTTGGCCGCTTTCTTCTCGTAGGCACGAACACAGGCCGCTACTGCACGCGAGTTGGACTCTATTTCACGGTAGATTTCCTGTAATTGTGCGAAAAGAGAACCAGAAAACCAATTAGTGTGCTGTACTGTGCGCGATTCGATGGTTCGATGGGCTGTTGTTGCACATGTGCAAAGGCTGGCATAACAGAGAGAAGGTTGGAGTTGGGACGGATTCAATGGCCACGAAAGCTGGCGTCACTCGACTGATAGGGTGTTATCTTATTTTTATTTGCATAGTTGATTCCGCTAGGGCAGGAATTGCTGGAAAGCAGTGCTTCGAATAGAAGAGAGCATATGCGCCGAAGATTAGGCTAGACTGGAAAGCTTTGCAGGGTAAACAAGCCTATTGATAACGGGAGAAATTGTGACTAACTTGCTATTAGTACCTAGAGAAAGTAAGCCATACGACAATCGTATGAAAAATTTCACGAAAAAGTCGAGCAATAGAATACGTGAATTTGTATATGATGCAATAGTCCAACGATACGAATTAATTTTCAACGCTTGTTTTGAGTTTCTTAAGATTAATCATATGAATATCATGCGTCTAATTTCCCGAGTGGTTCACAATTTGTGATTCCCTTGTTTTGAAAGCTCTTGTAAAATTTGCGAAATGCAAAAACATGGTGAAATTGAATTCTTATATATTTCTGATCAATTTAAAAACCTCCTTTATCTTTGTAGCGTCTTTCCCTATACTGTAAAACCAACCAACAAATTTCCAACCATATGTTTGGCACTCAAACAAATAGCTCGCGAACCTGTACTAGTAAATGCTTTTTTAAATTGCACGTTTTTTAGAAATACAATTAAATTAAAAGTGCTTATTTTCAATTCTGGGGTGAAGTTGCTCAAGCAATAAATACTTGATTTGTGTTCACTTAAGAAGAATGTGTTGTTAACATTTCAACACAAGTTGTGAGTCTCGAAAAAAAAACGGCATATTTTGCTGTAAAATATTTAAAAAATTTGCCTAAATGTATGCAACTAACATCAGTTTTTGACATACAATCATTTGTATGATACTAAATCGTTCATTTTACCTAAATTCAATTTTAGATTCGGATTCAGCGACCGAAAATTAAGTAGAATAAGTATTTTGTTTCGAACAATGCACCAGAATCAGCGAATCCAAACACATAAAGCAACCAACGATACAGACAAAACGCTCGCTCTGTAACATAGCTCGATCCGAGTGGTAGAAGGATAATGATATATTGCTTGCCTGCTTTGTTGCAATATACACGGATGAGGACAAAGCTTTATATGAATCGAGAAAAGACATAACAAAAAAAATCCCATTAACACACGTGTATCATCTTCGGGTTTACATTGTGAAGCAGCTTGCCAACAATTTGCTCGTTTCCTTCTACCGCCCCGAGTGAGTTGTGCCGCACGGGCTGCTTGTCATGAAAAAGAACGAAGAAGATTATATCATTATTGCTTTCCACTTCTGAAGTAGCGTTATTGTTCGGTTCGTTGATCGCTTGTCATTTTGTCATTTGGAGATATTTTTGATTCCTTGACCAGAATAAATGCTAATACTGATAGTAATTTTAGGAACAGCTAAGAGTAGTTCCGGTGATATGTTCGCTGTTTCGGGAGTTAATCAACGGGAGCGTCAAAAAAATCAGTACTTATGAAGTTCTGCGAGATCTTGTAGAGCTCTAAGAATTTCGCATGATTTTGGATTGCAGAACTTAATGTGACACTGCAAACACTTTCGAAACTCTTCAAATTCTATGCACTCCCTTAATTCCCAGAATATCTAAATGCATGTGGAATTCGAGTTACACTAATTTATCCAGGATTTTTAGCAATCCGAGTGCTTTTGGAACTCCAATAATTGCCAGAGCTGTATAGTAACCAAACACTCGAAAACAAATCGCACATTTTCTAATAATGTACACATGGCTCTCATGTGTGAAATTCCGTCCAAAACATACAAATTATCCATTTCCTAGTTGCTCTTTGTGTACTAGTTGACTGTGATCTCACAGTCAGCAGTAGAACATTTTCCTCTTTCCTATTTGGAAACCCTCATAATTCTTACCGCATGTGCGCTAACAACCTATTTTGCAAACATTACTTACGTCGCATTCCATAGCAACTCTGTAAACTTTCCATCCTGGTCTTTAGTTAAAATAAATTCATTCCCAGTTAAGACTCCATAGGCGACTAACGTCAATTATAATATCCGAAGTCCAGTTCTGCCACAGATGCGAGAATTGTCAAAAAGTTCCACAGCTGCATAAGCCATCGAAATACCAAGAATTTCCGAAGCTTTGGAGCATTTTGAAACTCTCGAACAACTTTAGGAAATTCCGGAACTTCTGGATCTCCAGTAACCCTTGGAGCTCTAGGCAACCTCAATTTGATTACTTTAAATATATCCATGAACTCCACGAACTCTTAGCACTCTAAAACCCCTTAGAACTCCCGATAACTTCAAGAAACTTCCATAAGAAATGTAGGAACATTCTGATCGGTAAGAGGTTTAAAAACTGTTTTCGAACTCCAGCAATACCTCTAACACCCGAGAAATCTGTGAAGTTTTGGCACATGCAGGAGCTTCTTCATGATATCCTGAGCAACCCTTAAATGTCTTAAAACAGAAATCTGAAACTCTACGACTAAAAGAACCGCAAGAACTCTCAGAACACCAGGAGCTGAAAGAACTCTCTCTACAATGTCGCATTTGTGGTCATTGTAGACAGCTTTAGTCCGGGAGTTAGAAAGTGATTGCTCTATTGCAGATCCAGCAACCCATTTCAGAATGTCTGGAGAGTCACGCCCATTCCGAGGTTACTTTCACTTACAATAAGCTCCGCATGTATGTACTGCCCATAATCACATATCAGTCCCATTTTTGCTTGATTTCCTATCCATATGGGACTGTTATGCGATTATTGATAGGGTATTACCTCTATCAATTGGATATTAGTATTACACACACACTTCCAGTTTCAAAATGTTCTGTTGAATCCTGGCACGTATTTAGCTTATGTTTTTCTTTAATTGTAAAAAGTATTTGGACTGGTCTCACCATGTTAATTTGATGCTCCAATCCTTGCGTTCCGAAGTTTTGATTTTCTCTAAGCTTTGCATCTCATTCCTTGATGCACCTTTGTCGAAATACTTCCTTCAACGAACACGAATTTGCTTGCATTGCCGAGCATTTTTGCAAGCGAAAAACTTACTGATTCACGGCAACGTCGGCCACCGAATCACCACCCAAACTCGCGACCGACACATTATCAGCACGTTCCCGGGCTAATTCACCAACCGGAACGGTTTCAAACTCGCCCTCGGTGACGAATCTCTCAATAGAACTACACGCCGAAAGTATGGCATCCGAGCTCGGAAAACCGGGTTCCCGGGAGGCAATGAAAACCGACACCGAACAATGGAACTGAAGCTGCGTCGTAGATGTTGGAGGTTAGATTCAAGGTCAACCGAGTCACTCAAGGCAAAACACGATATATCACTAAATGATAACTTCATAAACACTTGAAACAAAATTTTAGCACACAATTTAACAAATAAATCAAAAAATGATTAATTCGCTAGCAAAAAATCCGCAGCAAAAGAAAAACACGTCAGCTTTCAAGTGTGGCCTACTGCAATCTCGGACAATGATCCAAGTTTGTGTCAGAATTTGGCCAGTTTGACTTACACCTCTTTTTAAAAATGGCGTATTCGATATTTTCAATATATTATAGCGCAAAAAAGGCTCATCTAATCGAAATTACGTCTGACACACAGTTGTAGGAATCTGGGATTGTCTTTTCAAAAAAAAAAAAAAAAAAAATACAAGCTTTAAAAAATCTCTATTTTTTGCCAAAGGCTTAAAAAAACTTCAATTACAAAAAAAAATCACATTTTAAGCTTGTTTTAACTTTTGTTAAAGTTAATAGAATAACGTTTATTAATATAAATTGACTGATAAATGTGAGTACGATTAAAAACATTCTAGTGTTATGTCTGTGTTTGTACTAATAGTTGATGTTCTACGATTTTGGTCAATTTTGAAGTGTCCACTGTGTCCATTTCAGAAAACCTAACATTTATGATTAGCTTTCAAATAAGTTTAAAAATCTTAATTTTTGTCGTTTTTAATCTTCTAAAATGTTCAAAACGATATCCTTGTTTGTTCTTCGCAATCCGGGGGCAACTTGACAACTCCAGTATATTGCCAGTGTACCCCGACAATTTGGGTGCTGGTGGTGCTGTCAAACTCACAAGTTTCAGAAGGGTTATCTGAATAGGGTGAATGCGGAAATGATGTACAATAAATAAAATCCAAGCTTAAAATTCATCTCATTGTCACGCGCCCACCAAACCGGAACGCGTGACCGACGTCAAAATTAACATTAGTCCAGTGATGCCAGTGAGAAATGTCGTTTTGATTTTCAGTCGTCTGTGATTTCTGCATGGGGGTACACTTTGTGAAAACCAAAAATGAAGCATGTAACAAAAATCTTAAAGATTTTGAACGCTAATAACTCAACTGCCCCTGGACCATTTTCAATAATTTTATCAACAATCGATCAGATATATTTCTACGCATCTGTCAAATTTAAGACATTATCATTTTTCAAAATTTCAATATTGAAATTGCACGAATGTGCAACTGTTGCTTTAAGCACCGATTGCTTGTGAAAAGCGATTTCCCTAACACAGATTTCAAAGATGAATTCCATCCGGTCTCACCAAACGGTGTTTATTCAATCACAGCGTGGTGAGTGGTGGTGTTCTCCAGTATACAACGAAGGGCCGTCTGGAAGCAACGAGCTTCAGTCCACATGAGCATCCAAAGAAAGAAGAAGAAGCCACACCGCTATTGATCGGAATCAGTAGCTTTTTGGATTTATTGCACTTCACCACGAAAATCATAAATTAGCTTTTTTCATATGGCATTCTTGTCTGTTGTTTGGCATCCACACATGGTGAAACAAAAAGTTAGTTTTCCATAGAGAAATACCGTTGCGGTGGTGAAGGACAATCCCTTACGTCGTGTCTGTCACCTTGCCAAGGAC